AGGAGGGCGGCGCGGCGGGGCTCTGGATGAAGAGCGGCACGGCGGCGGCGGGCATGAAGGATGTGGAATCGGGCCGGGGCAGAACGCTGGCGAGCGCGGCGGCCCGCGGGGACGGCCTGCTGCTGCTGGGCACAGCCGGCGCGGCCGCCCCCACCGGGCTGCGGGAGGGCCGCCGCGGGAAGCACGGCGCCCGCATGAGCCTGCTGGGGAAACCGCTGTCCTACAGCAGCGGGCCGAGCTGCCGCCGGAACGCCAAGTATCGCCGGCTGCAGAACTACCTGTACAACGTGCTGGAGCGGCCCCGCGGCTGGGCCTTCGTCTACCACGCCTTCGTGTGAGTACCGACCCCCTCCCCGCCCAGTCCGTCGCGTCCCGGTCTCGCTGCTTTCCCCCCGAACTGCCCCTAGCCGGGAGCGGGGCGGCCGCTGCCACCTGCGGCGCCGCGAGAGCCGGCCGGCGCGCGGTGCCCGCGGCGGGACGGCCCACGAGGGGCCTCTCAGCGCTGAGCGGAAGGAGCGGCTCGGTGCCAAAGTTGGCCACACTCCGCCCGCTTTCCCCTCCCGCCCCCAAACCCCGCGCCGTGTTCGTCTCTCCACGCGTGTGCGGTCACCCGGGGTGCGCACGGCCAGGGGAACGGGGAAGCGCTGAGGGAGAGCGTCGGCTCTGAGACCGCATGCCCTGCCCGCTCTGCTCTGTGACATTTCTGCGCTTTCTCCGCTCGAATGACTCCTCCTTTCGCTTCTCCTCGTTTCGAGGAGCGCGGCGCTGACCGCGTCCTGTTGTCACATCTGTGAAACTCGGACCGATTCCCCCGCGGTACTCCTCAAGCTCCCGGCGATCTCCGCCGTTCGGGGCTCCGGTACTGTTCCGGGGAAGTGCCGCGGCGCGCACGGCCCTTTGCCCGGGGATGGGGACCCCGAACGCGGCGTGGCACGCAGGGAGCGCTCCTCGCCCCGCAGCGGGGCAGTCCCGAACCCCGCCGAAGGGAAAGGCTCGGAGGCGGAACGGTGCTCTGCCGAGAGCACGGCGCTGTGCCGCTCCGCGAGATGCTCCGCGGCCGCACTGACCGGGGAGAACCAACGTGCTGCGAGCGCTAAGCGGCAGAAACGGGCGTAGCGCTGTCACGCCTTCAGCACGAGGATTTGTGGCCGCTCGGTAGAGCTGCCCCTGCCGTCCGGCTGTGCAAATCAGATGCAGGCTAAGCTTTCTTCTTGGAGGGCATTAGTTTCGAACCTTGCGCTGTTTGGGTTCCTACAGGTGGTATCCTATAGGCAGTGCGTAGGGAAGGGCGTGAGGATCGCCGTGCTGCCAGGAGCTGTCGCACTGCAGTGCCATGGGAAAGTCCAGGAATTGCAGTTTGAAATCTTTGACATCGCCACGAAAACCATTAAAATGAATAAAGTTTAAGCTGGAAATAAAGTTGACAAGTTTAAACCTCAAAAAAAAAAAAAAAAAAAAAAAAAAAGTAAATTTCCAAACAGAGTGAAGTCATGACACAGCAGCACTGTAAACAAGGAAGATTGCCAGCTGCCTTTAGATAATTGCCTGCATGGAATGGGTGCCAGTTTTAATTTTTAATTGCAAATGGCAATTTTGGCAGTTGAAAATGCCAACATTCTATCTTTTATCTGAGCAAATCTGTGTGAGAGAGCTTGAAACATTGCTGTAATATAGAGGTGCTAGTGATACTGTTACTTTCAAGGATCCCTGATGCTACAGTTCCTGCCTTTAAGTCATTTTTTTTTTTGTTGTTCCATTGGATATCAGTTTGTCAGACATCTCCCTTGCTGGTCTATAAATTCTTTTAATGTATTTATTTAATTCTGATTTAATGACTGCCAGATATTCAGATAATACCGTTGCTGTTCCTGGCTCACTTTTTCCATCCACCTGATCAAATACAAATGCATCTTGGAAAACATACTCCCTGATGGGGTCAGGAAAAAAAAAGTCTTGAAATAGCTCAGAATTGAGGAGACATCACCACGTATGTGGATGAGATGTCCACTGCTACCCTTGCTAAGCTATTCTTGACTCTGCAGAGCCCGTTATAGCTCAGCACTATTTCTGCTCCAGGAATGAATGGGTTCTCTGCTGTAAGCCCGACGTCTAGATCAGTGTTCTCCTGAAATGAAGCTCATGCTAATATGCAGGGCTGAAATAAACCAAGGGTGCTTTCAGTGTTTCAGTCTGAAGTCTTAGATGTGTGGGTTTATTTAGGCCAGCCTGTTGCTTTTGAAATGAAAAGGGGAGAATTAGCTCTGGCTGCAAACAAGAAACCATCTCTATAATGGTATTTTCATTTCTCATTTCCATAGGGTAAAATGCTTGAGAGATGAGGATGATGCCCGCTTTGCTCTTATTTCTATTGGTCTTCTCAAAGCAGAGAGAAAATTAGGTAGCCACCTGAGGGGCAAGTTTTGTGATCTACATTTGGAAGCCAGTTGGTTAATTTATTTGTAAATACAAACTTACAATACGCTGCTGAAGGCAGCTGCTCTGCAAACTTTTGCTACCAGGCGAACAATTTACTCTTGAGCATGGCCCTTTGACTTCAGTATAATTGTGCTGGGTTGCAGAGCCATAAATTACACGTTCCTTTCTGTGTATCTCAGTAGCGCTTTACATAGCAGCCTTAGTTGAAGTCTTTACTGCAAGTACCACCGTCTTCTGTTCTTACTCATTTAGGAACACTGAAAATACATACGCTTATAAAATCAGAAAAGAAAATTATACCGTTTATGAGTAATGAGTCAGTAACTTAAACTCTGGCTAATGAAGTATTTATTCCACACCACATCACCTACACGTGCAATATGTACATACTTAATGCATGTGTTAGAATGCTCTAATATTCTGACTCCTTAGAAGTGTTGCCTTGGGATGTCGTAGGATTTCTTTCTGTTGTTACTGTTGTTTATTTAGATTATTTTTGGTGGTTTGGTTTGATAAGAAAGTGCAGATGTTACATTGGAATGATCAAAGAGGAATTACAGATTTGTTGCAGTTTTTACTCTGGTTTCGTCTTCAGCTGTCATAAGGATTTTGTATTGTTTTTATTCTTAACTAACATTCTGAAAAAGAAGCGGCATGAGAAGTTCAGAAGAAACACTACTCTTGGTACTGTTTTTATTGCTAAAATTAGTTGCATAAGTTTCCTGATTTTTACACATTGGATTTATTTCAGGAATAATGAAGTTGCTGTTTCTTACTGACTTCTTTTTAATAAATAGTGTGCAGAAATCTTTGGCATTTGTTGCAGCAATGTCCTTATTGTTACAAAGCCATCAACTTTTGCTCTGGAAGCTTCTGAATCACAAATTGCAGGGCCGGGTGCGTATCACTTTGCATGACCTGTATTGATGTTTCCATGGGCCTTCTCCACTGGTCATTGCTGGAGGAGATAAGATACAGGGCTAGATGGATGTGTGACCCAGTATGATCTTCTTCTCATCCTTTCACATTCTGGATGGAAAAAGGCTGGGAAGTGATTTCTGAAAAAAATCTAGCAATACGATAAAAATTTAACTTGCTGTTTTAGCTTTCCATATCCGCTTTCTGGACATCTTTTACTAGTGATCAGATGGCTGTTGAACAGGAGAATCTTTGCATCTGAGCTAACAGTGCTGCATCATCTACTGTGCTATCAGTATAATTACGGAGGTTCCACACTATGGTTAGAAACAGTAATGTGCAACACCCTAAATAGTTGCCTAATAGCAGGAAAAATGATTTTGTCACTTTATCTATCTACAGGCATCTAATGAATTCATTACAGGTGTTCTGTAGGTAGTACTATGGCTTTTATCTTTTCAAGTACCATTTCAGAGCCAGGGCCTGCTATTGTTAGGATAACAATGCATTTTTATTTATTTATTTATTAAACAAATAACAGTATAATATTAACAAATAGCAAGTGTTAGCAGAGTTGACAACATAAATGGTGTAGTACAGCCACATTAGTTTTATTAGGCACTGAGGAAGTAAAAATTTAAAGCTCTGTAGCTGCCACCTAAAGTTTAATAACTATTTTCTTTCAGGGAGTGAATGATTGTGAACACTTAGATGCACTTCAATATAAATCCACAGGATTTTGTTCCATCTGGGGCAGTCTGTGATTCTGCATGTGTGCACTTTGGAGAGGATCCTGGTATTTTTCCAGTCCAACTGGAAGACACTCTCTTCCTGTTCATGTCAACCAATCTTTGTCTGGACAGGTCTTGCATGTTGGGTGGAGGTGCCACAGCCCTGCTGGGGAACCATTTGCAGGCCTACATTGACCCTTTTGTTGAAAAATAGAGGGTTTGAGGTGGAGGGAGAGTTAATCTGAGCCTCTCATATGCCCCTTTTTGTACCGTTTGACACTGTTAAGAAGGATATGACTTCTTTATCCTTGCAGTTTCTCTTCCAGGAGTTACAGGTTGCTTGGCTTGCTGTGAGCTGCCAGTCGACTGGTAGATCACTCTCTTGCCATACTGAATGAGCTCAGCTCCCTAATCTCTATCTGAAGCACATACTCAAGACCCCAGACCTTCTTGGTTGCTCTCCTGGGTTTCTCCCAGTTTCTGCCCATCTTTTGTTGCTTCACTTGAGGGGGACAAATGGGTGCCCCAGTGTGAAGCTATGTGGAATAAAGGCCCTTTTCACTGATGCTCCTGGGTGCCCATATGGATGCGTGTTATTTGTTGGTGTTTGGTTGGTTTTTTTTGACTGCACCAGATGCAGAGCTCTACTCTTCTCTTAATTGGACTTCCTAGGTTTTTATGTTCACTTCCTGTATTCTCTTTTGCAGTGCATCTCACTCATACTCTAACCATGCATATATATCAGTCCTCAAAGCTCTTTGTGCTTTCTCTGTGATCATCAGAGAAGATAAAATGGTCAACCAGGCTTCATTCCTGTGGTTTCCTACCACTGTTTGCAGGCACAGTCCTTGGAACTCGGTTGTGGGCACTGCATAATGCATAACTTCTGTATTTGTTCAGTCTTTGTGAGAGAACTGTTGCCCATGTGAGGATGTTCAGGATTGGCAATGCCTATCATGTGATGTGCGTAAGAAGTGGTTTTCACTTACCTTAGCAAAATATTGTTTGATGTTTTACTCTTCAGGCTTGATTTCTTCAGTTCCCTCGTTTGTACTCTCCTTCTTTTCCGACTTTAACAACAGTGGTCCAGGAGAAATACTGCTTTGCCATAAAAATCAAAACTGTTCCTCAACTCTCTAGAAATAAGAGAACGAAAGATTTACTTTGGGTAAGTCACCAGGGCTGGGTCTGATGAAAACTTATGCACATGGGCTTTCTTCTGTCCTAATGTTTATTTCTCAAATGAGATTGAGTTCAGTATGTGGTTAATGAGACGGATTGTCTATTACATTACTACTTGCCTTCAATGGTTTTAAATAAATGTACAGCCTGAGTGGAGTCTTCTCCATCTCTTCTCCTACTGTACTCTTGATGCAAGTTAGATATTTCTTTATGGTTGTAATTTTCCCCCTCATTTTATAACCTTGCATTTAGTGTTATGTTGAGGGGTTACAATCGTACCTTTTATATGTTTTTCTTTCTGTGTCAGTCTTGGAAGTGGCTTTTCTTGTCTTGTTTATTGAATGTCTTGCATGAGGTGAAGAATCTTGATGAACTTTCTGTGGCCCCACATGGTGAGAAATATTGCTTGGATTTATAGGCTTTGGCCAAGGATAGGATGATCTATGAATACTCTATGTGGCATTAAGTATATGCTGTCTAAAAGGAGTAGCTGCTTTAGAGACTGCCTGGAAGATTTTAGGAAGATTTTAATTGCCTGTGAGACAGTTCTAGGTGGTGGCTTAATGAGCTAGGGACCTTTCCTCTTTAATAGTTTTCAAGTTTCTGAAGTATTTGACTTTATCATGGCATTTATTTTCACTTTATATAGTTGGGCCGTTGTGATGAGCTTCCAGTCCTCCAAATTTGACTGTATTTTTAATAGCTATTCACCCTATACTGTTGTTTGTGATGAATTAAGTTTCTTGAATAGGATAAAAGTAGAACTGAGTTTAAAAAAAAAAAAAAAAAAGTTCTATAGTTGTAATTGACTTCTAGCATCAATCAAATGGAATACCAAAGGTCATTCCATCTTTAATAATTCATTCACTATTCATTAGAATAATCATCATTAATATATTTACTAGTACTCATGAAAATGAAGGGAAACTTTTTTGATAGCTCTAGTAGAATGGAAAAACACGTTCTGTAATTTTATTAATGTTTAAGGGGAAAAAGAGAGTTACACAGGGAAAATGAAAGTAATCATTCCTAGATAATGTAAACTTCTAACACTGAGAAGTCAGTGCTTGTTGTTTCTTGATAGCTTACAGACAAAACTTAATGTCCACCTGTCTTGTGTGGTCGTATTTCCATTACTCTAATTTTAAGTCTGACGAGAATTAATGATATTTGCCACAGATTTCAGTAGAAGGAAAACTAGGTCTCCATGCAGATAAAATAAGAAGGAGTAGGACACAAAAAATGTACCATGTAATGAAAAATCTTTAACGTGTAAACAGAATTGCTGTTATTTGCTGCATTCTTCCTAATAAGGCAGATATTTCAGTGTGTTTTTTTGTACAATAAATCTTGTTCTTTCCCTTTGCAAACCATTCACACAACAGAGCATGAATTCTTATTTTTAATGCAGACGTACTGAGATTTGCTTTTATATATGTATTTGGTAGACTACACTGAATTGGGGAAAACCTGTGTATTACCTTCCCTTTCTGTTTTCTGAGAGAGATATTACTGAGAGTTTGATTTGCAGGTTTCCTGTAAGAGAGCAGACTGATTGCCCGAGGGATTGCCACTGCAGCTCAGTTAAGGCAAAAAATTCATCAGTTGTGTGGTTTTACCAATTGCAAAGTATTATTAAGCAGTTGCTATGCTTATGTCAAAGTAGAATTCCTTTTATGTATTAATTTAAAGTTGAAAGGCTGTCTCACAGTTCATCTGTACTTGATCAAGAAGTGTGTTCAATTTTCCGTGTAACAGCAGATTTATCTTTTGTTAGCTGTCTGAGTTGCAGTGTAATTGCGTTACAGGAAGCTTAGCAAAACATTCATCACTTTGGGCACTGAAGTGTGTAGTCTTAGGCACTGGTTTTTACTTGAAAGAAGATGGGGGTACTTTTTAGTATGTGTGCTTGGGCCTGGTGATTCAGAGGAGGGCACAGTCCTCAGCTACACATACCTGAATTTCTCTCCTTGGCCTTCATCCAAGGATTTTCAGGCATAAGCGTGCATGTTTTCCTTTACGGAGATGGACACAAATATGTACATTAGCATTCTCTCTAGGAGAGATGGATTTTCAAAGGCACTGAATACCTACTTCCTTTAATTATTCTGTTGTGCCTTCAGTGGGTAATTCAATTTTTTCTCCACAACTTGTATCAAATGAAGTTTAACAAATGAATCATGCTCTTAAACTGATTAGGAGTAATGAAGAAAGGAAGTTCTGTACCTGCTCACTTTGTGATTTAAGCAATATATTCCTGTTTATCTTGGCTACCTCCTTGCTTTGAGGCTCCCTTCTTAAAAGAAGGGAACACATTAAGCCTTTCAGGAGTTCTTGTAGAGTTTTAATTATTTTAATTTTGTTATATCAAATGTCGACATACTGGTGACGAGTCAAATGTGACAAAACCAAGAGAGTAAAATCCTTCTGCTTTGAGAGAAAAACAATGTTGGGTCTCAGATGAGAGCATCTGCACACACCCTTTTTGAGATCATTCAGTCAGAAATAGCATCTAACTTCTTCTAGTGCATTACATTTAACTGCTTTGCATGTCTGAAGCTCATCCATAACCGTGGTATCTGAGAAGTACCTATTAAACGCAAATGCACAAATCTTCCTTTTCCATGCTCTGTTAACAGGAATGTGCTTAAAAGTTACTGCTGGCCCTTTTCTAAATATCCCTGAGAGGGACTTTGGGGGAAATGAAGACAAAACATGGTGTTGTATGTACTACTTCTGTGAGTTGTGGAGGTGCGGGGCTGCTCATGTTTGACAGTGAGTTTGGAAACACAGGGCAGTGTCCCTGGATGACCAGTCTGGATCAGCAACCACATCCTTTTGGTGTTGGCACTGCTGTGTCCTCAGAGCATGAAAGGTGGTGGCTCAGTGAAGCCAGTGTGAGCACAGGAGCTGGGATGGTGAGTGGGCTGTGTCTTTTCATATGGCCCTGTGCTGGAGTAGATTTATTGCTGCCAGGGCATCACACAACCAATTCAGCAGCTTGCAAAGCACTTCTCTGCATCTGAGAAGGTTGTGCTGACTGAGGTTAGAAGTGGGCTGTAAACTTACATGGAGGAAGCAAAACTCTGCATCTTTTATCGTTTCTGTGCAGCTGATAATAGTTCCTGTAGAGTCCTTTTTGTGTGTGTGTGCGTTGTATAAACCATCACCATACAAGAGTGCATGTTCTTGACCTTTAGTGCTTTCTGCAAAAGGATGCTTATTGGTGGCAGGAAACATACATCAGCTTGTGCAGGGAAGCAGCAAGCTCCCTGCTGGTAGCTGTGCAGTGGCCAAGAGCTGTATTGGTGGCTATGGGGTGCTCCTCAGAGCTGTGTCAGAGCCTCTCCTGAAGGGCAGCTGGGAGGCAAAACTTTACATGCCTGTGGCCCACCTGACTGCTTTTATTAGCAATGTGAAGTAAGTGATGGTTCTTTTGAGGAGGTTCCAGGATGCTTCCTGTGCACTCCATGGTTAGTTGCAGTAAGGACAGGTGCACATCAGTGATTTACTGAATTGGTCGTCTGTTTGTGGATGTTTCTCTCCTCAAAAAAATGACCTATTCATAACTGCGTCCGTAGACTGAAGAGGAAGCAGAGTTTAGAAGAAAAGGGGAACAGCTTTGCTAACATCTTCAGGTGCTGTAAATTTTTAGATAATACAAAAAAATTGTTCAAATAGATGTATTTCTCTCCCCCTTTAGTCTTGGAAGCAATAAATTTGACTTGATGCTTGGAGAGGCTGTCTGGAAAGAAGTGAGCCTTCCTCAGAGGTCACCCTGGCTGCTGACTAGCCTCGTGATTTGGCTTCCACAGATAATCTGCTTGCCAGAGCATTGAGGGATTCTTGTAGGCTGTGAGGAGGCAGGTGGCGATCCTGAATTGTAAGCGTGCTTCAGAAGGAATTTTGATTTTCATCCTGAAAATGCTTTTAGATGTACTTTCTAGTGGAGTTCTTAGTAGTTAATTGTACTTATGTTGCAGTTAGTGGAAATGATCAAACTGAACATTGGTAAAAGCAGTCTCAGTCAGGGATGATAGTGAAACTCATCTTAGTAGAGACTTATATATTCAGAAGCTTTATAGACACTTGAAATTCTTCTATGGAGGGCTGAAGGCCTATCCAGAAGTTGTTGAAGCTATTACATTATGTAAATGTGGGCACTCCACATGAGATTTCACTGTCTGGAGACAATTTGTAGGGAGAGCCATGGTGAGTGCAATTGTGGGAGTGTACAGAGGAAAGAAACATTACCTAGATGGGAAAATTGTGTGAGATAATTCATCTATATCTACTTCACTTGACAGACACATTATTACTGTAAAGTTAGCAATGTGTGTTTATCTTACGTTATTAATATGCTTTTAATTTCCTTTTTTTCTCTTTCTGCTTTCTGTAGAGAGAAAGCACAAGTACCAGTGTGAATCAGTTTATTAAACATAGGTAAAGCACGGTGTTCATCCTTACTTTGTTTTCTAGTGAGTTCTACTACCCTGTGTGCATACCTGAGGAAATAATCAGTAGCATTTTTCTACATAATGAACATTTTGTTTACTACCTGGTTGTGTTTCTGGTAGCTTGTCCTTGCTAAATGTTGTGTTTTGGGGGTCTGTGTATGTGCATGTGTTCTGGTAGATTGTGTAAATACAGGATTCTGTCGGCTTCAAGTCATTTGCCAAGCTTTTAGTTAGACTTAAAGCAGTAGCTTTCTGTATTTTTTCTATTTCACGATAAGGTGCATATTAATTAATTTGATTTCCTATCCAGTTAGAATAACCACTGAACCCCAAACAGTGTGATCTGAGCATCAAATATAGATGGCTTGAAACAACCACATATGGGCAATTTGAGAGGAAGGGATGAAAAGGAGTCCCAGTAGTACAGCCCCATGACATGGCTACATGCACACTTTGAGGAAGACCTGTGGAGGACATCGGAAATTCCCATCCTTCTGAACGCCCTTTGGCTTGTTGAGAAATAGAATTCTCAAGGACTTTTTCTGCAGGAAGGAATCTGTTTGCTACAGAGCAGTCTCATTCCTGTCCAGGGAATTTCTCCTTGAAACTATAGCTGAGTTAATGACATCTATGAAATATCAAAGACCTCTAAAAATACGAGAAAATTAGATAGAGCATTGTTATGGTTGCAGTTCATTAATGGGAAAACTGGAGCTGAAGTATCCATAATAGACTGAAGTGTGATATCACACCAGTAAGTGTCAGAAGAGAAGTTTATTTGAAAAATCCTGTGTGTGATTTTGCTCTCCAGTATTTTTTCGCCTGCCTGCATGTGTAAATTACCTCCTTCCAGGGAAAGGTCATGGTATTCTTTTTGGCTTGCTTTTGTCATCAGCTTTAGGAGTTAATCATAAATTATATAATAGATAGTGACTGAAAATTCAGATTATTGAGACAGTGCAGATAGTGACATTTCAGATGCAATTCTGAATTAAGATTCATTTCTGAATCTGAAATATATAATTGTCTGGCAATCATTGTTTAAGAAATTAGATTTTACAAAATTGAGACTGTGTTTTTTGCATTTAGTCATCCCTGGTAAAATTGTATTTTTCTCTGTCTTTAGTAGAAAAGAGGCAAATCTCTGTGAGTTATGACTGAGATGAAGATGAGCCTGGATGAGAACATGAGCAGTTGTAAAGATTTTGAACTAGGTTAGAGAAGAGTCAGACAGAACTGCACTGTATTTTGATTTTGGAAATGGGATAAGTTTGTTAGTGAGACCCACTCATCTCTTAAGCATCCAGCTGAGAACCGGTATCCTTCCCAGCGCAGTGTGTGCCGCAGAGCAGCATTCTGTGTGCACACAGGGTGTTTGCTGTGTTTGGTCTGTTGTGATGGCTCACTAACAAAACTTCTGTCTTCACATCAGAGGAAAACTGTTACAGGCATGCGTTGTTGGTAGATTAGGCTGTTACCAGGATGGATCTGTGTTCTTTTTTCAAACAGGACTCCCTTGCCTACCTCTAGAGGGTGTTCAGGTGACGGCAGCAAATCACTACGGGTATGGTTCATACTGTTTTCTGGCAGGAGGATAAAGCCTCGCCTTGCAGTCTTCCCATGTTTCAGCTCCTGCAGCACCCTTAAGACTGGGCTCAGCAGATGCTCTGAGTGCTCACTGCTGCGGCTCTGTAACCTCTGTCCTCAGCCTGAACTTTGTTCCTAGACCACGTAGGGAAAAAGTTGTTCGTCTTAACATCTGATAGCAAGTTGTACAAAGCATCTGGCTAGTTAATTATTATAATTGCATTTATGAGTAACAAAATCAGAAAGTACACTTTGCATGATTCATTAAGGGGAAAAAGAACAAATGAAACTGTTCCCTATTAGTTTGTCTGGCAACCTCAGGAGCACGTGTTAGAAAGGTTGTTCATTCAACTCTAAGCTATTAATAGCAGGCTAACATAACTGCATTTGTAACTTACCTAATTTCAGTAAATCTGTTTCAAAAATTGTGGCTTTTTTTTTTTTTAATCACTTCTTGAAAATGATGCTTGTTTTGGCAGATATTGCATTGTTGCATAACCTGGGAATTTCACTGCATAACAATTTTGTCAAAATTATGTATCATGTGATTAATGAAAGCTCTTCCTGCATTACTTGGCTTTTCCTGAAGACACTGAAGTAGAGAAGTGGATGCCTGATGGAAGAACAAGCAGAATGGCAGCATGGCTTTCCAGCCCATGGCAGGGATAACAGGCTGCAGGTGAGCTAACAGCAGCAAAGTGTCTTCATGACTTTTTGAGACTGATTACCGAATTTTCAAAACCATGTATAAATTCTTCAAAAACAGCAGTGAAGGAAGGATATTTTACTCTCTGACACTGAGATGACAGACATTTAAAATTGATGCACACTGTGCCAGAGGTAGGCTGTGTCCTCTATGTTTGCCGCTTCAGTTCTGGTATGGATCACAGAACACATAGTATTAATTAAGCAGCATGTATACACTGTGACTTCTGGTTCGCTCTTTCATTTGTCCTTTTTGTACACCAGAAGATATCCTGGAAAGCAAGAAGTGTGTGGCCTTTCTGCTCACATAATCCTAGCAAATAAAATGATAACCCAGACTTTCTTGAATCTTCATCCTTGTTAGTTCAGGCACTTTCATCATCCTTAAAGTCAAGCAAACCAATTTGTCATCTCTTTTATCCTGGACTAAACTAGCACTGCAAAAACCTGCTTATTCCTTTAATTGTGTGTGAATGAGTGTTTTGAGGTTCCTACTCCAACAGAAAATATCAAGAAAAGCTTCCATGTCTTCTTAGCCAAATTCAGGTGTTTTCCAAAAAGGCATTCAAAGTGAAGATATTTGACTTCCCTTTGAGTGTCTTTTTAGATGCTCTGCCAGCCTCTTCTTTTTGGTTGTACCTGGTTGCTTTCCTCAGGCACTAATGATCGTTTACTGCTTCGGTGCTTTCTGATTAACTCCAGTCTCAATCAGAGAACCATGGGATCGGAGCTGAAGGGGTTGCTAATGGCAGCCCAACAAGAGGACTCCATGGACATTGTTGAGAGGTAAAAAAACAGAACAGCTTTTATCACAGTGGTTTATGTCTTTTAAAGTTTCAGCATGCTGTTCTGGGCTTTCTGGAAACTCTCTGATGCGTTCAAGTATATAACTATATAAAGATATATGTGTATGAGTGTGTGTGTGCATATAAAGTGCTGATATGCATTTCCATCCTCATTAAAAAAGTAGAGAACATGACTTACAGTTTGTTGAGTCAAACATTAGCACTTCTGCATAGAGAAGTCTTTAACATGTACAAATGGTAAGCCAAATCTGAAAGCTGTTTACTAGCCATTAATTCCAGTCTAAATCCAGAAGCCCTTACTCAAGCAAAATATCACTGAAGTAATAGGATCCTTTATCTTAATAGTGCTGTATAACTTAAATTCTCCTCCAGGTTTCTATCAGTCAGCACTTTTGTTGTTTTCTTGTGCAACTCACACAATGCTTGTGCTGCATTGACTGGCTATTCCATGATAACTCATATGCAGCTGCAATGGATCACAGTATGCTTTTGGCAACATTTTTGGATCTTTGCTCTAGCTATTTGCAATGAATAACAGAGATTGTAAGTGACAAAATGCTTTCCCTTTAAAGGTAGTTGTTAAAATACTGCTACAAAAGTAACCATAGAGTTTGGAAAATGATGTGGTACAAAATAACATATTTTGCGACATACACTTTTATTCTTTTCTGAAAATGATTGTTCTTTTGCAGGCGTGGGAATGTGGATATGTTCCTAATCTGAAATCAATAGGAAATACTTCAGTTGTTCAAATAGCTCTTAAGCATATTTTAGATTGATAGCTGATTGTATATTATGTTTGCAGCCCTTGCGCAAAGCAGCGTTTAATAGCAGAGCTTGCTGTATAATGAATATAGAGAAAGACTGTTCTTCATAATATCAATCTATAAAAACCCAGTGTATTTATTCACATAATGCAGTTGATGTCAAGTCGCCACAGTGCTTAGAATTTATTGCTACATTGCTTGACACGTAGCTATCAACTGAAATAACTGCTTCAGAGTTACAGCTCAACCTCAAGATTTCCTGCTCCCTGTTTAGAAACTGACTTTACAAGCTAGTTGGATGGCTGAATTAGCAAGGATATAATGGTTCCATGGAAAGTGGCTGCTAACAGAAAGTCAGTATTGGAATGGGTTACTTATAGGATTTTCCTTGAATTGCTGTCATTATTGTCTGTATATGCAGTGGTTATCAATGACTATAATTGCTCTGTAGTTGCCCTGCCCCAGTGTCTTACTGTCATATTCACTTTTAGCTTTCCTAAAATCTAGGCAGAAAATATCTGGGGATTAATCTACTATTATGTTTTGTGTTTTGCCTGGCAACTTTGTGCAAGTTCCTAGTTATTAATGACTACTCTGGTGGCGTGAACACAAATATCCTCAAATTCTCCTGCTGAAATGCACTTTCTCTGGAAGTCTCTGGCACCAGTTTTGGCCCAATTGATTTGCATATTTTCCCTCCATACTGTCATAACAAGAGGATAAAGTAAAATCTTGCCATGGTGGAAACATTTCAGTAGGAAGACCTGAAGAAGAGTGGTTTCTGTTTGGGTCATCGTTGTTGCCCACATGTCCAGGACCACTGTAGAGTGCAGCACCCCATCTGCTAATGGCAAAGGTTAAGGTTAATTGGCAAAGCATGGGAGTGAATTGCTAGCTACATGTTTATATGCCAGCTCTATGATTGTCAGAGTCAAAAAGTTTTTCAACCTGGCTTGAAGATTCTGTCTATAGAGAATGATTATTATCAAGCAAGAAACCTTGCATTTATAAAGATGTAAGCAGTGATAGGCAAAAATTGGCAATCAAAGGCATCACAGCTTTGGCGCACTTACCCTAATTTTATGTTTTGTCCTCTCTTGTGATGTTCAGGGTCAGCATAGTAGGTCCTCTGACTCAAAGTGCACAGAGCCACAGTAATGATGATATTCTTAGCTGGGCTGAGGACAGCTACTACCTTAGAACTGTTTCCTGTTGTGATCTTCTTTGCGGTGTGTTGTGTGCCGATAAGTCACAACTTGCAGCTTGCGGTGTCTTATTGCTTAATTTAACCATAGCTTGCATGTCTTATGGTTTGATTGGCTGGCAAAGCATGCAGAAATTCTGAGTCAGATGCACCTATTTCTGGATGCCCAATATAATTAGGTGCAGCCCTCAAGAACACACTTTATGCAACTTTCCAGGCACACTGTGCAAAAAGGCAAGTAAGGATTTAAAAATTATTTGGAAAAAAAATAACGCAATTTAACTCCAAATTATGATTGCACTCATTCTGATGAGCCTTTTGGTAAAGATGAGGTCCTGCAGCTTTTCAAGAATTACAGCTTTTACACATATGAAATGTACCAGCTGTACCAGGACATTCCTGGAAATTCAGGTGTCCTATATAGAACGAGCCTTGTTATTAAAGACCACAAATTTCTGTGCTACTTTTTTGCAGTCCTCAGGCATTGCTTTTGAAAGAGAGTTTTGTTTCTGTAGCCTCTTTCGCGTGATCAGCTTGCTAGAAAAATGTGCTAATTAGTGGCACTGCCTCTAGATGCCAACTGAAAACAAGGCTGAAAACAGCTGCGTGTGTTCTAGGGGATGCAGGAATTATGCACTGCTGATAATTTTTGGTTCTGAACAATTGGGTTTGGGTCTGTCCCCAGCAGAGGGAAGTGATTTAACTAGAAGTGTCTTACTGAAAATGATATGAAATAAATATTTCTTTTTATTAGGAGTCTAAGGCTCCATAGAAGTTTGAGTCTAAGCTGCTTGAAATGTGATTATGTGCTTAATTACTTGTGTGTAAATAATGGAGTAAAATCCTCATGGGTTTTAATTGAGATACACCTGTAAGCAATTAAGCAGAGCAGTTTATAATATTGATTTATTTGAAATATAAGAAATATATCAATTCTCACAGCTCAGAATCACACACCTCCATGTCCTGAAAATATTGCCTCCTAAGAGAACCAGGTAGAAACCAGTATCTATTTATAGATTTATCTTTCTACCGTTGCTTTATCTGCTTCATTTTTAGTAATAGAAATAGAATAGTAGGAATAGAGAACTTCAGAGGTCATGTAGTCCATCTGCCTGACCACTTCAGGGCTAACCAACAGTTGCAGCATCTTACCGAGGGCCCTGTCCAAACCTTATGTACAATTAAGGTTATAATTTTAATTACATAGAATTAACATTGAAAATACACCATTTAACATAAATACGCAACAGAACTGTATTAAATAGTGAATGCTAGGTAATTAAATTTCATTAATTTAAAATAAATTTTATAGTCTGGTTAAATAGATAACAGAGGTAAATGTGTTCCTGAAAATTCATTAAATATTATGAACAGCATCTTAGTTATCAAGAATGGAAAAACAAATTAACACTGGAGCCACAAGGAACAGAAGTGTAAAGCTGAAGCTGAAATTTCAGGAAATTGCTGTGGTTTCTTGGTTTATTTTTAAAAATGGAGGAAATCTTTCCACTACTTTTTATAAAGATATCATTTTGAAAATCATACACAGTAAGTTTCTTAAAATAATACTGATGTGAGGGAGTATTTATCCCTTGCTGTGTATCTTTTGAAATGGGCATTTCTGATGTTGTTTTTCTTTTGATCTACCAGGCATACAGTGGCTAGGTGTGCCGGTGCTGTATGAGTGTCTTTAACTGTGGCTTAATGTATGTGCTCTGTTATGCTTCATGCGGAATGCAGACCAGAATTAACTCCCTCCAGTGGTAGAAGCACTGAGTGAATCGATTGCAACAAAATGCAGAACCACCTTAGCATGCACCCATACAATTAGAGGCTTTATTTGTATGTGCATATATATGTTTGTACGAAGGTGCTGTTGAACACAGCAGCTCCCGATCACAAAATGAAGTAGTGCTTTTTCCTTTCCACACCGGATAATCAACTTACTCCATAACTGACAGATTGCATCTGTCCTACCTTGTACCTGGCTGTGGGCCTCTTCTAGACATGACATGGTGGCCCACTAACCTTTTTACATAGTCTGGTGGGGTTTGTTTGGTCCCAGGTATCCGAAAGAAATGGAGGACTATTGCAGCCCACCAGAATGGTGTTCGTGTTTGTGTTTTTTTAGTGTGGAACTTAAATAATATGATTTATGACTAGTGAGTAATGTATGGTTGTGTCTGATAGTTGTGTGCGTATGGTTTATGCTGTAGGATGACAAGAGCAGATCTGTGGCAACTACATCCATTTAATGTCATTCTCAAAGATAAACTGTTCCCTAAATTGTAACCAGGCTTAATTTTGATGTTCAGAAACAGAGTATCTGAGAGACCTCTTCCTGCCTTTCTCCTAAGCCATATAAGCATACTCAAAAGTACCTATAGCTGCCTTTGGGGTGCGTGCTGATACATAGTGTAGAAGGGGAGATTACTAGCCAATGCTGACAGAGAGTGGATTTTGCATTGTGGAAATGTGGAATTTAAAAAACTCCATCCCAACTACAGTGAGGTGGCTTCCACTGTTTCTCAAATTGAGTGTAAGAGCATGACTTAGACAAATGCTATGCTTCAGTATTATCCATTTTGTACTTTTTTAAAAAGTGTGTTGAGCCTAACTTCACTAAGACTTTTCCACCTGAAATTATCAAAGGGCTTCATGGACTCCTCGATGTTCCTCTGAAGGAAGAAGAAAATCAATTGCTTCTGTTTGATGAAAGCTTTTGACGCTTTTGAATCTCTCTTTCAGGAGAAAGTTTTGCTAAAATTTCCCAGCCATCTTCATTCTCCATCCAATTTCATTCTCCATCCAGCTTCCCTTTTTCACTCCCCCTCTTCTCTTTGCAGATGACCAATGTGCAGAAAAGCAGGGGGTCTCCTAGTAGAGAGTTCTTAGTGTGTTTTTCATGCATTCACAAAGGAAGGCTGATACTCTAACAGAAAGATTTCTTTGGTCTGGATGGTACTCCGAGGAGCATAGTTCAGTATTAATAGTACAAAATAGAGCTGAGAATCTGAAAGGTGGAGAGAGAGTAGAAATATTGATGAATGCTGCGCTAAAACTTCAGAAGTTGTTAAAGAATTTTTCAGCCAGACTCCTAGCTTTAACCTTTCATCGTCTCCCTTCAGCTCTCCAGAAATGCAAAAAGGTTGATGAATGGGGGGTGGCTTCTGAAACTTGGTGAGCAAGAGCACTGTGATTTAAAACCATGGAAACTGTATGTGTAAGCATACATTTCACCCTCTTTTAGACTTAGACTTCTATGTTCTTAGTAATACTTTCAATTTGCATCCTAGTGTTTTCCAATGCCCTTGTTGTAAGGGAGCCAAGGATCATACTATTGTGTCCTGCAGCAGAGCCTAATAACCAGTGTCCCTGCTGGCTGCAGCACACAGTATGGCTCGCAGTGTATATCAATGACACTGGCTTTTGCTTTCACTGTTATCAAGGCACAGGTCTTATCCCTCATTACTGCAAGTGTAGCTCTATACTGTGGAACGATCAATATTTGCAAACCTTTAGCAAGCCAGCTGCCATTGTGCTGGCTCATCTGGGCTCCTCCTTCAATCCCACTGTTGGTGTGGAAGTCCCAGCAGGACCTCATTCCTCCATACGTTATTAGTGTGCTTCTGCCTGAAGCTTTGCGTACCTAAATAATGTTTTAGAAATGTACTCAATTCTCTAGCACACAGTTAAAAAAAAAAAAAAAAAAAAGAAAAAAAGAAAGAAAAAGGTGGATGATTCCCTTCATATGTAATTCTATATCAATGTTTAATTATTTTTCTACCATGGTGTTTTATCTTAAAGACTTCTAATGAAAAACACCTGGTCCAGCTACTGATTACAGTATCTATGGACTTTACATAAATATACAATATGTTTGGACTTATAAATGATGAGTGTAATAGTATTTTTGTGTTTAATGGTAGTACTTTTAACTCATTTAATTTTATCTGCACTCAGAATACTTTTAAGATAAAGAAGCCTTGTTGTAATGTGAGTAATCAGAGGATAATTGACATCCAAGTTGCTGTTACAAGTCAGAAATATTATTCAGGTTGCTTAATGTTTCACGGCTCCTTGTTGAAAGAATGCAAATGAAACAAGGCTGTAAGTGAAGACAAGCTGATGTTACACTCTGGGGTTGCTTCTTTTAAATTTGGCTTAAGGCATAAAATAACAGCTTGAGAAGCCAGTGCAGCAAGCACTAACTTTTCATTTAAAGCAGTCACATATTTAAACATGAAGGAGTTTTTTGAAGCTATGCTTTCGACATAAAAAATACTCATACAAAAATGTGCCCTTAAATGTTCTTATGTTTTTACTGCCAGGTCCTGCTGTAGTGTGTATTTCTTGGATCAAGAAAATAACCTAAAAGCTGTAGATTTGGTGATTTATTATTTTTTTGATGTTATGTTTTGAAATACCAATCAAGCATCATTCAGTTTTGAGTTCTGGGAAAATAATCTTTGGCAATTTTTATTATCACAAGCCTTATAATCTCAGTTATGGGTCACTTCGTTAGGAGGACTGCAAGGAAATGGCACAGGAACCTATTGGCCCTGTTGCATTGGAAGTGCAGGGGATCAGACAGCTGCCATGTCCATACTGCTTTGCTTTATGCTTTGCCCACCTGCCTGTTCTGTTGTCCAGCTTCTTGCTCAGGTCCCGTGTTTCTGGCTTTTTCCATTTGTGTGTCTCTAGTGAACTTATCTACTGTGGATTAAGCAGCAGGCAGGCTGAGCAGGTACCCACAAATTCGGTGGCTGGAAGTTTGGAGATCCATGTTTCCATAGGTTTCTTTGAAGTCACATAATTTATGAAAGATTCTGCTCTTGATATTTCCATTAATTAAAATTATAATTGAAAAATGTTCAGAATTTTCTCTTAATTTCTGTGGGATTTTTATTGTGTGTAGTCCAGGTCTTGAATATTTTGTACTTTAAATAAACTTGTTTTGATGGACATGAAAATATGCAATGTGCTGGAAACAGCGTGACCCAGGCCATTTCCATAG